GTCCTGTACACCCATTGCGGCACACCCCTCACACGTTTCGTGGCCCCATGGGGAGCTCCACCGAAGGTCCCAGTGGGTGTGCCCGCATGCGTCCCGCACACCCATTTCGGCACACCCCTCACACGTTTCGTGGCCCCATTGGGAGCGCCACCGGAGAAGATATTCACAATTGCGGTACTCACAATTGCATATGGTTGGGTCTTTCGCCAGGATAATTTTCTCTTCTTTGGCAGGGAGGTACAGAAAAACAGGCAGAGCAAAACGAAACACATAACGAACACAACACGAATAATAACGTGTAGGTCCAGCCCTGGTGCCCACATCGTGAGGCGGCCTCCTCCTGCCATTGCCCTTCCGAGGATGCTTCCGCCGAAGGCTCTTTTGACCACCTGCCCGGCCAGTACGAGTTTTTTTTGGATCTGGGGTCGCTTTAAAGTTCTCGGAGAGCGTTGTGGTGCCATGCAAGAGCCCCCCCCGTGACGATTTTTCTCCGGCGCCCTCGAGAGCCCCAGGACAGTGAAGACGATAGTGTCACTGAGTGCTGTTGTCTCCGCCCCCTTGTTCGACGTCGGATCGACGCCTCGTGCCCTAAGATGTCCCACAGACAGCCCCAATATCGCACAGGATGGCACCACGACGCCCCAGGAGAGGCCATCACGAGTACCGAAAGCAGCTCAAGAAAGTCAGACATTTTCAGGAGTCCCAGGATGGCGCAGGAAAACCCCGAGAGGCTTCTAAGGAAAGCCCAGGAATTCTTCAAAGGGCCCAAGTGGCTCTAAAAGGAGACCCACAGTGGATCATGGCGATTCCAAGCGCTCGTCAAGAGGCGCCCAGTGCTTCCTCCGTAGCCATGTTGGCTCAAGACATTCTGGATTCAGCTGTTTCTTTCGCACCAAAGTGTCAGTCATTCGCGGAATGTGGGCGCCTATGATCATCAAGGTGGCCTTGCTGTGGCTGCTATTGCACGATGCTTTGGTGGCCGCGGAGCATGACCCGACAATAAATTTCAAGGACATGAATACAATTAAGGACATGCGGAACGAATTCTGCGGTCCAGTGGCGAGCATACACAACGGGACCTTGAAACTCAGGGATGCCTTGAAGGGCAGGCACATTAACATGGTCACTACCCGGGACCGCCTCCCATGGTACGACGAACCGGAGAACAACACAGACCCTTTTCGGGCTACAGGTGTCCACAAAGAATTAGCCGACACGATGGCAAGTCGGGGGGGGGTTCACCTACACATTGTACTCAGTCTCGACGTCAGCTTTCACTGGCATGAGTTGGTCGGAGTACCTCGCCAGCAGCTTGGAGAAGTTTGACGTGAACCTCGATAATTGGGCCGACATCCCTGACCGGGCGTCTGCGGGCATCCGAACGCCATACGGTTACATAGACATGAGCATCATGCCCGTTACGTACGGCACCGTTCAGAGCCCCAGTTTCTGGGAGAAGCTTAAGACTTTCAGCGTTCCGCTGGAAGGACCACTTTGGGGTCTCTTCCTCGTTATCGCGTTGTTGACATCCTTGGCTTACTTCTTCCTGGAGAGGGACGAATCGGGCGATGGGTGGACTGCAGAGGATCCGGATGAATACAAGATTGAGCAGAGCATCGTAATGGGCTTGACAACCCTGACGCAGGTTGGGACTTTCACTCCGCGTACGATGGCAGGGGAGGTCTTGATGCTGACCTTCACGTTCTTCGTCATGATTTTATTGGCTGCGTACACAGCCAATCTCGCGGCAGTGTTGGTGGCAGCAGATGAGGTCCGCGCGTGCGAAACTTTACAAGAGTGCACGAGAGGGAGACGTAGGTTGTGCGTAGCTGAAGGCATCCACGTGGACTACCTGAAGGAAGCTCATCACAAGCTGTACACACACAACATGCTAGTGGCTTCCGACCACGACCTCAAAATGAAGAACTTACTTGATGGCAAGTGCGCGGCTGCCCTTGATTCAGTTTCCGAATACCGTCTGGCAAAGGAAGACGACAAGCTGAACCCTGGTTGCACGCTGAGATCAGTCGGCGACTTCCCTCTGGCGACTTTCAAAGGTGGCTGGATGGTCAAGAGTGACGATTTTACCGAAAGGTGCACTGCACTTCTGAGGGATTCCCTCGCCGATCTTTTCCTCGAGCTGGAAAAGGACGGTCAGATCGCGGACCTCGAGGCAAAATTCTACAGAGAGTCGATGGTGGAAGGATGCGACGATAATGGCAATCCAGACTCGAAATTTTCTGAGACGGACAGTTTCCCGATCGAGAGCATGCTTGGGCCTATCATCATCCACTTGTTTGGCGCCATCCTCGCGTTTATATTATACTTCCGCCGCAAAGCAAAGAATGAATCGCACCCTGTGGCGAATCAGATCCCCAGTGACGCCTGCAGTGACATTCGCCCGCTGAGCGGCGCTGACGCCAGTGACATTAGCTCGCTGACAGCCGAGATGGGTGCTTTAAACGCAAAGCTGAGCCACCTGTTCGAGAAGCTCAGCTAA